GCTGTTGCCAAAAAAGCAAACATGATTCTGGGATGTATTAACAGGTGTGTTGTGAGCAAGACACGAGAAGTCATTCTTCCGCTCTACTCTGCTCTGGTTAGGCCTCAGCTGGAGTATTGTGTCCAGTTTTGGGCACCGCATTTCAAGAAAGATGTGGAGAAATTGGAAAGGGTCCAGAGAAGAGCAACAAGAATGATTAAAGGTCTTGAGAACATGACCTATGAACGAAGGCTGAAAGAATTGGGTTTGTTTAGTTTGGAAAAGAGAAGACTGAGAAGGGACATGATAGCAGTTTTCAGGTATCTAAAAGGGTATCATAAGGAGGAGGGAGAAAACTTGTTCACCTTAGCCTTTAAGGATAGAACAAGAAGCAATGGGCTTAAACTGCAGCAAGGGAGGTCTAGGTTGGACATTAGGAAAAAGTTCCTAACTGTCAGGGTGGTTAAACACTGGAATAAATTGCCTAGGGAGGTTGTGGAATCTCCATCTCTGGAGATATTTAAGAGTAGGTTAGATAAATGTCTATCAGGGATGGTCTAGACAGTATTTGGTCCTGCCATGAGGGCAGGGGACTGGACTCGATGACCTCTCGAGGTCCCTTCCAGTCCTAGAATCTATGAATCTATGAATCATTTTGGCACACATCATCTTTCGGTTTTTATGTTCTCAAGACAACATGATATATGGCCCACACTGTTGAAGTGGAGCCATTTATTATATTGTCAAAAATTACACTTTACCTGACACTACTGACATACTACTGACTAGCTGGAAACAGAATATACTAATGCTTTATGCAATGATTCAGCAGTTTAATTATGTCATGGTGTCTGAAATTGGGCCTGCTCTTCCCTAGAAACACAATATCAGCTTGTACAGTAACTCCTCACTTAATGTCCTCCCGGTTAACGTTGTTTTGTTATGTCGCTGATCTATTAGAGAACATGCTTGTTTAAAGTTGCGCAATGCTCCCTTATAACATTGTTTGGCAGCCTTCTGCTTTGTCCACTGCTTGCAGGAAGAGCCGTCCATTGGAGCTAGCTGATGGGGGTTTGGAACCAGGGTGCATCGGCAGCCCCCTATCAGCTCCCCTATGTTTGCTGCCCAGCAGGCTATCAAGTGCTGGGCAGTTCAGGTGTCCCTCTCCCCACTGCCATGTGCTGCTCCTGCCCTCTGCCTTGGAGCTGCTCCCGGAAGACTCCTGCTTGCTGTGCAGGAGGTGGGGGAGAAGAGGAGTGCTGATGTCAGGGTGTCCCCCTCCCCTACTCCTGTACCCCATCTCCACAGAGCGGGAGACACACCATAGGGCTCAGGACGGAGGGAGCTTGCTGGCAACAGCTGCTATCTCAACTTGCAGATATACTTAAAAAGGCAGTGTACTTAGAGAGGGTCAGCGTACTTAAAGGGGCAATACACGTCTCTCTCACTCACACACACACACACACACACACACACACACACAGAGTGTGTGTCTCTGTCTCACACACACATGCACCCCCGGCACTTTGGAAAGTGAAGGGAGAGGTGCACTCCAGTGGAATAGCGTGGGTTCATCCTCACATTCAGTTTCCGCAGGGAATGTTTGCAGCCACTGCCATGCGTCTACTGTATTGTCTCCTCCCTCCATTCGTGCTGCCTTGTAGACTGTGTGGCTACATTAACAACAATGTGTTAACGCTTGAGGGCTCAGCCAAGTGCTAGTTCATCATTTAGCAGCAAGTCATTCCCTGGGAAATAGCCAACCCTCTGACTCCACCACCTCAACCAAGCTTCACAATCATCATTGCTGTGTACTGTATTAAATAGTTTTTTTTAAAAACGTATACTGTGTGTATATTATATATAATGTCTTTTGTCTGGCGAAAAAAAATTCCCTGGAACCTAACCCCCCCATTTACATTAATTCTTTGGGGAAATTGGATTTGCTTAACATGGTTTCGCTTAAAGTAGCATTTTTTCAGGAACATAACTACAATGTTAAGTGAGGAGTTACTGTAGTAGTGGGTTTGGCAGTAGCATGATGGGCACATGTGAACAGCTGCTTATGATTTCACTGGATGTCTGCTCTGAAAAATGAGCAGCCTTAACTTAAGTGGACAGCAATCGTCCATCATCCTCAACTGTGCTTGGCAAGTGTCCTTATTTGACTATTTACTTACTGTAGGTAACATGGGAATATTATTTGTTATTTAACATTTTATTGTTGTAGTGTAGAGGTCTCGTCCAGGTCGGGGCTACACTAGATAGTCCCTGCTCCAAGTTGCTTACATTTTACCCAACTCTTTTGAGAATACCTATGTAATGACTACTACTTTCATAAGTCTACTGTGTTGGTGACAGACACCTCATAGACACCAAACTCTGAGATGCTATCAACTTGGATAATGTCTGCTATGGTCAATTTTAAATTTTCAGCAAGAGTTAGCCCATTTTCCCTTAAATGTACATTTAATTATAGTTAAAAGTTTATCTTTGTGTGCAAAGTGAGAGCAAGCATCATCTTTTTCATTTTGCCTAGATTTGCTGAAGAGACTGTGGTCTATATTTTTTGCAATAACCATGTGCTAAAATTGATACTATCCTTGCCAAATGCATTCTCTGTTAAGAAACCTTGAGAAAATCTTCTTTTAACTTCAGGGATATGGTGTTAGGAATTGATAAACCGATTCAGATTATGGCATGAGTTTTGTTCACTGTCTCTTTTAATTCTTGGAGAAAGTCAAACTTGATGTCCCCTGTTAAGTTGCCAGCAGTTTTAAACTGTATATTTAAACCTACTTCATGATAATGTTTGAATGAAAGTATCTAAAGTTATTCTTTGAAGGTTGCTGTTGTGTATCCCTCTATTTAAATAATTTCACATTTAAAATCTTGTTCATTTTTTTTGTAGCTGTTAATACAATAGTAGAAAATCTTCCAAGATATGTCTATTAATGTTTAGGGAAGCCTAAACCCTGCTTATTGTTGAATTGTACAACAATTGTTGTTATGTAATATGCACATTTTATATAGCTAATGTTTGGAATGGACAATTTGTTTGCTTTGAACAGTTGCAGATTGCATGAGATACTTATAAAGACTTTGTATTATCAGCCAAGGCTTAATCTGCACTAGAAAAGGTTTGTCTGTATAGCTATGCTGTAGACACAGTTTATACTGGCAAAAGATTGCTTTTGTTGGTATAGCTTATACCAGTTCCCCTAACAAAATTAGCTCTACTGGCAAAAGCACTTTTTGCTGGGATAACTGCTTCCACACGAGGGCTTTTGTTGGTATAAAAATGACATTTAATAAAAATCACATTCATGATCAACAAAAAAAATTGTGTGGACCTAGCCCAAGACAAGGACTTCATGGGTCACCATTCAAGAAATCTAAATGTTCCTGACAGTGTTCTTGGGTTTCTGCTTGTACCTCACTGTAGAAATTGCTGACATTTTAATTATTTGTAAGTGTTTTTAAAGGTAAAATTAAAGTTTAATTAAAGGGTTTTAATTAAAAGGTTTTGTGCAAAGGACAATATTAACTATTATTGCAGTGTATTTCTAGTGAGAACCCTCAGGGATCTGTTCTTGGTCCTATGCTATTTAATATTTTTATTGATGACCGGGAAGAAAACACAAAATCACTGATAAGGTTTGCAGATGGCACAGAGATTGGGGGAGTGGTAAATTATGAAGAGGACAGGTAACTGACATAGAGTGATTTGGATGACTTGATAAACTAGGCTCAAGCAAACAATAGGTGTTTCTTTACAGCCAAATGTAAAGTCATATATCTGGGAACAAAGAATGTAGGCCATACTTGCAGAATGGTGGACTGTATGCAATTGCACTGACTGCCATAGAACTGTGGTGTTGCAGGGGTTCTTGTCTCTAGCACCTCCCTTCTCACACCCTCCCCAGTAACCATTTTTCTTGGTCCCATAAGAGCCGGTCTGTCTGGGTTTTCCATGGCCTGTCCCTCTGGCCAGGTCACTTAAAAGTTCATCCCCTTCTAGTGTAAGAAAGGTTCACCTGTAAGTTCAAATAAAAATACAAACTAATAATTCTTCTGTCCCCTTGTGCTACTCTGAAGTTCTCTGCCTTTCGCCTGCAACCCCTATGTCCTCAGAGCTGCTTCCTATACTGTTTCTTCCCAGCAAGTTTCCCCCACTATATGTTGCCCTCCCTGCTCCTTGTGGATATCTTCTAGTCTGACTTTACCAGGCCCTTCCCAGAGAGAGGGAACTCCCCTTTGCTCCTATCTCCTGGGTCTCCTCCCCCAGATTGTGTTCCCAAGTCAGTTTAAATAGTCCTCTCACTGATCCCCTGCAGACTTTTAATTAAGTCGCTGGACAACTATCCCCCATCTGAGTGTGATGGTCAAAGGCAAGGCTGTGCCTGGCTTGCCTTAAAGGGCTAGACAGCTTGTGACAGAGACTCTATCCTGGGAAACAGTGACTGAAAAATTCTTAGGTGTCATAGTTGCTAATCAACTAAATATGTGCTTCTGGTGTGACACTGGCTAAAAGGGCTAATGGAAATGTAGGATGCATAACCAGGGACTGTACAGTAGAACCAGGGACTGTTGAGTAGAACTGATACAACTACTACTGGAATATTGTGTCCAATTTTGGTGTGCAGAATTCAAGAAGGATGTTGAAAAATTAGAGAGGGCTCGGAGAAGAGCCACGAGAATGATAAAAGGATTGGAAAACCTGCATTAATAGTGAAAGATCTAAGATGTTCCATCTGTGTAGGTTATCAAAGAGAAGGTTAAGAAGTGATTTAATCACAGTCCATAAGTATCTACAGGAAGAGTAGAAATTTGATAATAAGGAGGTCTTAAGTCCAGCTTGTGATCCAGTGACTGGAAGTTGAAGTTAGACAAATTCAGACTAGAAATAAGGTGCCAAATTTTTAATAGTGAGGGTAATTAACCACTTGAGCAATTTACCCAGGGTTTTGATTGTCTCATAAGGTGTCAGTCAGTTGAATATTCTGCTTTTTATTTTTCAGAAACCAGCAAACATTCTGGTAATGGGAGAAGGTCCTGAAAGAGGAAGAGTCAAAATAGGTAACCCTTTCAATAACATATTCATTAGATATACAATGAATAATGAACTTTCTATGCAACATGGTAGTTTAAAATAACAGAACATTCTAAAATTCACTGTATTCTTAAGACGAAGATTTTGTACATAACTCCTAATTAAACTGAATATTGGCCAAAAAGTATATTTGAAGTTAAGAATTTAGCAAGGATTTGACATTTATATAGATAATGAGGACATGTATACTTACACTAGATAGGATAAAAGTATAGATGAGGGCATAAACCAAATACTAACTATCAACAGTTAGGTAGAAATTTTCCTTGTGGCTATGTTTATCAATAATTGCCCAACACAGACTTCTTGCAACTTCTACCTACCATTCAGGTACCGATGACTTTTAGAGACAGGTTACTGGACTAGAAAGGTAACTGGATAATTGGTCTGATATGGTATGGCAATTCTTATGTTCTTAAGTACTGGTTTTAACAATTGTTCACATTTTTATTAATGCAATTACTGAAAATCCATTTTTGGTAAAAGAAAAAAGTTCAATATTTAAGAATTGTGGAGCAATAGTGGAATTATTGTAACCAAGAATTAATATGGTATTTAACAATGCTACATTTCCTCAGACAATGTTAACATATACAATTTAAAGAGATGGTGCACTTTTCTTTTGAAGATTTCCCTATACAACAAAAAACTATTAGGCATCAAAGAGGAAACACAAAATCACTGTGGAAGCTATTCATCACATATCTAATTATACTATGCAGGTACTAGGCAATAATAAAGAGGATATCAAATGTGTTTTTAATATAGCAAATGTATGCTATTTTTAGGTATTGGGTGGGAATGTTCAAATCAGTTAGGATAAAATAGTAACCCACCTGAACTTTTTCCCATTCCTTGACTCAACCTGAACTTTTTTGAAAATGTTTGACTAAGTTTTGTGTTTATATGCTTCTACAGTTCTTTGTATTGGTCACTCCTAGAAAGAGGAGAGCTGAACTGTTGTGAGAGAACCCTTTTATTTGAGATTTTGCATGCAAAATTGCTTTAAAAACAGTTCAGGTGAGGTTTGGATATGCATCCATGCTTTTGAGTGTTTATCCAGACTTGACTGTCTGCTCCTGCCGATGTTCCTCCTCATTACTACAAAGCCAGTCCTATATAAAATACATTTCTATCTCTATATTATCTTAACACTTTTGATTTATACAACTTGATAACATTTGAGATTTACTGCCATTAGAGTGTGTATTAAAAGGCATTCATTGGTGGATTCAGCAGAGAGGCCAGGATTTAGTGCCTGATCCTGCAAATATCTTAGGGCTTGTCTATACAATATGTTCCTGTGCAGCAAGCCAGGGTGTGAATCTACAGCACACTAGCTTGCTGTGCAGTAATGTCCTATGTGGACATTGCTACAGCACACTGGAAGTTCTGTAGTGTGCTTTGGCTTACTATGATTTAAAAGTAGTAGTAACCAAAGAGCATTCTGAGACTTTTAGCGCACTGCGGCAGTGTCCATATGGGACATTGCTGCGCAGCAAGTCAGGGTGTAAATCTACAGCACACTAGCTTGCTGTGCAGTAATGGTAGTTGAGGGAACTCTGCTAATGTGCAGACCGAACTACTTTCTTACTCCTAGAGGTGATCCTTCCAAGTCAGGGTTGGGGTACATTAGAAGGATAGTACAGGGAAACTTGCACTGCCATTGTTTTACTCTCATTTTGTGGATACATTGGCATCAGTCACCAGGGCTACCCTGGCACTCCTGGCTCTGCTGCTGCTCTGCAGTAGCGAGCAATTGCCTCGGGGACATCTCATGGAAGCTGGGCTCCACAGGTAGGGGCTGGCTTCAGGGGGTGTCGCTGGCTGGCGTTGGGCTCCTTCGGGGGAAGAGACAAGAGCGTGTCAAGGCGCAGTTTGGAGCTGTGCCACCCGTCCTGTTTGGGGAGTGTCTGGCCATGTAGAGGCAGCCCAGCTTGGGGAGCAGGGTAGAGAAGGCTCCCGGGGAGCTAGCCAGCGCCCTGGCGCCCACAGCACAGAGAGCCAGGGGCCCAAGCAGGGCAGGCGGCTCCCACCAGCTTCTGATCTGCCGGCTTCTGGCAGGATGCAAGCCCCAGAGTTTGAAAACCTCTGTGCTAAATGGATGGCTGAAATCTGGGGGGGCACATGGCCCCCGCATGCGTGCACTGCCCCTGCAGCTTTGCACCCTGGGTGGCTGCCCTGCTCGCCCAGCCCTGATTATGGCCATGATATAATTGTTTTACTGTACTACAGATCCACGGTGAAGCCACCTTTTAAATGTTACATAACGGTATCACTTAATTGAAGTCAATGGAGTTGGGCCCAATATAATTTGAAGTAATTCAGTCAGATATCTAATAACCATGATTTATAATGTTCAATGATACTAGGTCACATCGTATTCTAATAAACATTTTGCTTATCATGCTTATAAATATTGATTGTCATTGTGTGACTTATGTATAGTCAAACAAAAGTTTTAATATTTATTTTTCAGCTGACATGGGTTTTGCAAGATTGTTCAATTCACCTCTGAAACCTTTAGCAGATTTGGATCCAGTTGTGGTGACATTCTGGTATAGAGCTCCAGAACTGTTACTTGGTGCCAGACATTACACAAAAGCAATTGGTAAGTTACTGTATAGGGAAATGAAGTTGTTTACAGTTTCAGGATAACTGTATGTGTATTCCTTCTGTGGCCCATTCCAGAAGTGCTCAGTCAGGTCTCCAGCTGTCACCTATCTCTGGGTGGCGACTATTGTCCCACTCCCCTCTGACCAGGATTAAAGACTGCACAATCCCCTTCTACACACTGTGATATCCCCAGCAAGCCAGTCTGCCTAACAGCCAGCGCCTGTGCTTAGCTTAGGACAATAACAGTGTTTTTACCAGTGACAATACAGCTCTTCCAAGGTAAGCACATTTATTCGCAGGGCAAAAGCAGTACAGAAAAAACAGTAAAAACAATAAATTAACGTACACACTTACTAAATATACCAGAAATAACCTATTTTCCACATGGGGAGTTTAATAGGCCAATGTTCCTTCCAAGCCTTCAGCAAGGGGTGGGGCCTTTGCTTGGACAGAAGGTTCTGTCCATTTGCTGAATCAAAAGGAAGACCACCAGTTAGTTTCAACTCATCCTTTTATACCAAAAGCCCCTCTCTTTGTCTCTGGAAAACACAGAGGGTGGAACTTTTCTGGAGGAGTTTACAATCCCAGGGATAATCAGCCCCCACTGTTTTTAGCTCCTGGAGGAGCTGTGATAACCTCCTCCCCCCCTCATGGAGTAGAACACAGTCATACATAAACATTCATAAATTGTGTACATTGGTCCCTAAAGATAGTACATGGAGTTGCAATATCTGTCAGTTTACCTTAAGCTTCCTAAATAAGCAAGTAAACTGGAAGGCATAATAAAGTGCTGCAGAGTATGTTGAACAAAGAAGCTTTGTTTCAGACAGAGGAATTCTTTGAGTGGCCTCTATACATTCCCACTCATGGGTGTGCTGGTGGTGAAACTTTGATAGGGGAACATTTCATAGCAGTGCTTGTTGGAGCATGCTTGTGCCCTCTGCTGTCCCTTTCCTCATGGTTCCTGAACATTCTGAGGGCCAGGTTATAAAAGGGATGTGGTGCTCCAGCTGCCTCAGTGCCTTCCCACTGCAGCAGCAGTCAGACCAGGAGCCTCTCTAGGCTGCTCTGTCCCAGAGTCAACCTCTTTGAAGACTCGCTACATTAGATTTCTAAGTTAGTTAGGATTAGTGTTATAAATTTAGCTTATTTTCCTTATAAAATTATTTCCATTATTAGTTTTTATTACTTGCCACACCGTGGTGTGGGCTTATGGATCCTATGGTGAATTTGAAGGTGAAGAAGCCAGTATTTAAGTGGTGTACCTCTTGTCCCTGCTTTGGATGACCATATGAGATGTCTGGGGGAAGGACATATTCTTTCAGTGTGTGCAGACTACAGCGCTTTCACCACAAGAGCTGGCAAGAAGCTTCAGAACCATCTCCAAGCCTTACTACTTCAGCAGGCAATCACAGCCAAACCCTCTGGTTTCTTAAACCCTGGTTTTGTGAGTACTGAGAGGCCTGGAACAGTATCTTAGCCCTCGGGGAATAAAAAGTCCAAGATGCTTACAAAGGTACTGTCTTCCACTTCTGGAGTGAAAGCAAAATCTTAGGTATTGAAGGATCCTAAGCCATTGGATCATAAGCCTAGAAATAGCAGAACCCTACAGTCTGTGTTAGCATAGCCAGTTCTAATAGGAATGCCCCTTTGAATCCAATGTCTCCACTTCTGGATAAGGGTGTGGCACGAGATACAGTTCCTGTTAGCAGAGCCAAGGTTCTCGGTTTTTCTTGGTTCCCTCAAGATCAGTTCCAAAAATACCTTGTGAACCGAGGCCAGAGGTTAGTTAGTTTTGGAGAGCTTTTGAAGGTTTGAGGTTCCTCGTGCCATCCCTCCCACCCCTAGCATGCCTAGGGTGCCTAGCATACCCAAGGACCCGGGCTTCAAGAACTTCATGGTCTTCCTCTGGGACTTCCTGGTCAGTGACAGCTACAACACTTGTTTGTATTGCTTCAGGGAAGCTCATATCTCACCCAGCTGTAACATCTGTCAGACTTTCTCTCACTGAACTAGTCAATCCCATGAGTTCAGACTCTGAACGTTCCTGGTGATTGCTCAATGAGACCAGAGTCTGACCCTAGCCCATCAGACTCGCTGTGCATTGGGCAAATGCAACAGGAAGTGCCCTTTCAAGCACAGTTATCTCCAGCTCCGGGACCACTGCAAGCAGAGTTAAGGACTCTAGAAGAAAATAGGGGAGACCTGAAGAGGGTAAGAGTAAACACTCTCACAAGGACAATGTGAAAAATCCCTTTCTAAGTTCTCTTCTAGGAAAAGGATTTCTTCCACAATTCACTCTGTTGGGTGAGATTCTGCACCGCAGTGCAGGTTTGTCAGAAGCTTAAAGAGAACACGATACTTGTTCCTTGGCATTGTCAGCCAAGAGTGCTCTGGACCGCTGTCCACTAAAACAGTGGAATAAGGACCATCCTCTTCAGGGACCCCTCTCACAAGAAGCTGCTCAGGTGGTAGTACAGATAGGGACCATACACCTGGAAGTACTCTAGTTACTATACAAGACAAGTAGCCATTCTTTACCATCTCAGCTCCCAACATGTGCAAAGAAAAGGTATCAGAGCAAACACTACACAGATGCTCCTCAGTTCATGTAGCTACAGACCATACCTTTACCCCAGTAGGTACTATGACTGGGAATCTGATGAAGATTATTGGCAGTCTTGGCAGAACCTTGAGCCAGATGGCTTTATTGGCCCTCACCTACATATTTTGGGGATGTTGAACATACTTGTCTTACAGGGGCCCATCCCTCCTGGAAGTCAACAGAAGCTGACATTGGATCCTTTGCTCCCGAATCCATCTCTGTCACTGGAGTACAGAGAGCATTCCCCAGTGGTTGTCCCATATGTTGTCAGAGGAAACAATGATGGGCCCCACTGAATACCAGGATGCGGATCTGGAACCTGATAAGTTGTCTTCTGCTTTAGGAGTCCTTTCACCATCTTTCCCATAGCCTTGCCCTCAGAATATTCAGGAACGGGGAGAGGAGCAGGTGCCAAGAACATTCCAGATGACACTGTTGTGAAATGTTCCACAGTCAGAGTTGCAACATTGGCACGTTCCATTGGTGTTAACATGTAGAGTCCGTCTTAAAGAACTCTAGGTACAGGTGAATAAACTTCATTTCAATCTGCAGAGAAATATAAGCAACATCATAAAATATATTCAAAGCTAGTAGTTCCAAAAATGCTGCTTTTCACCAGTTGAAATATATAAATAAAGATGTTAATATATTGTGTAAAAAGGGATAATGTAGAGAACTTAATTTGGGAGAACAGCAAAACATAACTTGTCTTACAGCTTTATCTGCAAGCTTAAGGATGGAGTTTGAATGACTGCTGGCTGAGCTTCTTACTAAAATCTAGTATTTCTTTAACAATTGATGTTATCAAGAAGATGTAACAAACCAGAACTCATGGTCTGTTCACTTATTTGTGATATGAACAAAACTGAAGTATAGAATGAGTTATAAGTATAGAAAGGGCTATTAGAGTCTCCTCTTAGTTTACTGGTTTCAGAGTGGTAGCCGTGTTAGTCTGTATCAGCAAAAAGAATGAGGCCTTGGCTACACTGGCAATTCACAGCGCTGCACTTGATGCGCTCAGGGGTGTGAAAAAACACCCCCCCTGAGCGCAGCGAGTGCAGCGCTGTAAAGCGCCAGTGTAATCAGCGCCTGCAGCGCTGCACGCTCCCTCGCAGCCGCAGCAGCGCTGTGAATCCGCGAGTGTAGCCAAGGCCTGAGGTAAGTATAGCGGTCAGTAGGTTTCCAGTATAGGATGGTGTTTGTGACCATCGCTTATTAGCACTGTAGTGTCCAGGAAGTGGATCTCTTGTGTGGACTGGTCCAGGCTGAGGTTGATGGTGGGATGGAAATTGTTGAAATCATGGTGGAATTCCTCAAGGCTTCTTTTCCATGGGTCCAGATGATGAAGATGTCATCAATGTAGCGCAAGTAGAGTAGGAGCGTTAGGGGATAAGAGCTGAGGAAGCGTTATTCTAAGTCAGCCATAAAAATGTTGGCATATTGTGGGGCCATGCAGGTACTCATAGCAGTGCCGCTGACTTGAAGGTATACATTGTCCCCAAATGTGAAATAGTTGTGGGTGACACCTTCTTGTCAACTGTTTGAAATGGGCCATCCTGATTATCACTACAAAAGTTTTTTTTCTCCTACTGATAATAGCCCTTCTTAATTGATTAGTCTCATTGGAGTTGGTATGGCAACCCCCATTTTTTCATGTTCTCTGTATCTATATATCTTCCTACTGTATTTTCCACTGCATGCATCTGATGAAGTGGGTTTTAGCCCATGAAAGCTTATGCCCAAATAAATTTGTTAGTCTCTAAGGTGCCACAAGTACTCCTCGTTCTTCTTAGTTTACTATTCTTCACCCCATCTTGCTTCCTACAGAAAGCAGTCTGTGCTAATTTAAATATTTGGCTCAGAGTGAGATTGGATTTTCTAGGCACCTATAATTTATGCAGTAATTATTATTATCCTTTGCTTATATCCTTAACACACCAGGTATTAGGTTTAGAAATTGCTATTACCGTCAGTACAAAGATCTCAGTCAATTGAATCACCTTTGTTACTAATAATGTCCTATATTATAAAAGTATATAAAGAGACAGATTTATGCTGATAGTGAATTCCTTCTCTGAGAAGAAATGAGATTGGCTTTAGCAAGACATATAATTTTAGATTACCAGTGATCGTGAGATTTCTTAATTTCCTGTGTCCTTGAAGGTGTTTGGGAAAACAGCCATGTGGCCTCTGTTAGCATTTGTCAGGATTGAGTTCATCCTGAAGGAGGAGTATAATAATGTGATATGTAGAATATTGTATCATATATAAACATTGGGCAAGGTCCAACCCTTTTGCACCACTGCAGCTATGTAATGTGGCCGTAATGCTGGCTTAAATAGCCATCTGAGGATTCTCCTATCCTGGAGGAATCCCCAGTTGGCTTAGAG